CATTTTTCAATATGGAATGTAAGCTTGGTAACGTAGCTGAATTTTTCAGTGTTAAGATGAAATAGAGAGTATGATTAGATAAGTCGTTTTCGAGAGAGAGATGTGATGAATGACTTTTAAAGTACTAGATCTTCAACCTACATCCGTTAAACCTAGTAAAACTCATATTTTCAGCATGATTCACAGTTATTATGGTAGGTTGTAAAGTCTGAAAGAGTAAATGTTACTAATCTGTATATGATATTTTCAAAATACTCATCGCATACAATTTCTTTACACATCATCTAATGGAATCTCAGTAAAAATTACCAAACGAGAAAACAAATTGAAGATTATAGGGAAGTTTACTATCTGAGAGTATCCAATGGAAATTATTCCGGAATCAACCATTGATAGGCTGAAATCGCTATGATTTCTAAAAACTTGATTTATTCAAGTATAACGTTATTCCTATTTGGAATATGCTTAATCATTATGGAGTCAGTTATTCTGTATTTAGAGAGGAAGGATACAGGAAATACAAGGTAGGCATACATATTTTTAGTAGTTTCTTCTTTCTCATGATATTCGTACCGCATATCTGAAATAGTGGAGAATATTTGTAGCTCAGGTGGAGGGTCTTGGTTGCATTGTGTTCACTAAGCTGAGTTGTTTAATCGATTAAACATCTGTTACGAATGCTGACTCCAGCTTGCATAGTTAACCGAGATGGGGTTCATTTGGTATACAGCCAAACCATAAAAAACGAATCAAATGACTGCTTGTTTGAACATTTTTGGGAAAGATCAGACTGTATGATTGTATCATTAAAGATACTGGATACTCCCAACTAAGAACTCTTGGATAACATAGTAAAAAATCGACTGAGATGGTTTCACCTCTTGTTTCATTTCTGGTGAAACTTGCTGACGCCAATAACTGGTTAATTCAGAAAGAATTTTATGGATTTATACGCATAAACTGGGCATTAAGATCTCAGTACCTTAAAAAAACTCAGTATATTGATAACTATTAGTTTCCCACTGTATTACTACAGCATAGTTTTCTGACTGCAGTGTTAAACCACTCATGCCAGCGTATGAGTAAATGGAAGCTACAATATTTTAGCTTGCATAAAACTAAAATTTACCTATCATTATCATTCTTAAAAGTGTTTTCCATCTAGGCTTCTTCATCACATTACAAACATATACGTTACAGAGTAAGATTTAAGATTGTAAAACCAAGTGCTAGCCACTTTTTAGATTAATTATTGAACTAACAGGAAATAAAACTAAAGTCTTAGTATCACTTCAACCTACCATTTAAACCATATTGTGCATCTTCTAAGTTTCACATATTTTCATTGATCTTCATCCATTTGTTCTCTCAACTTTCAAACATTTTTGTCTGCCTTAATACCAATCTTTGTCCATCTACTTATTCTTTGCCTGCTGCTGTGAAGTGTAGCAACCGGAACTGACACACTTCTGTGCCTTTTTTACTTTGGTATGCGTCTCTCTGTCTATCTTAATACATATGGCCAATGGTTCAACTCTTATCAAAAACATTGGCTTGCCTAGATCTCAACTTGCCACTTACTGATAACTCAGATGCATAACATAAATAAATAGGCGTTAAAGCTTCTTGTAAAGTGCAGCGGTAGAGTTATAAAACCATTCATTGTACTACCAAATGTATGACAGCTATCTTTCGATGCTTGTGATTTTCCTTTGCTATACGGGATCGGACTGATTAACCTCAGACAACAACAACTGACACCCATTGCTCAAGTGGTGGGCTTTGTCACCTATTGGCCTAGTGGACAGCCCTTTGGCGTTTGAAGGGATGGGTACTGCATTCATATCTTGGTGGGAACAACACCACTCACTTGGGTGCATGTACAACTGACCGGCGGGTCCCAGATAGGAAGATTCCGCCCCTGGTCACCAAGATGAATACAGCCTGATAGCTATTTTTCTTCTTATAAAGGTGAATGCGAAAGCAGTTTATGGGTACTTCTGCAGGAAGATCTCCGTTAACCTATAGGCTGGTCATGACTAATCAATACACTTTTATACCTCTACCTTTTTCTTATCAAACACTATATAGCAATGATATTACATTATTGGATCACTGTCTACTTTTTTATACATGTGTATGGTTGATGCAACTTATACAAATACATCCTTGTCAAACTACTTATCTAATAGTAGTCAGTTAGAAAAAGCTTGTAACTTGAAAACTGGATCATATTTATAGGGTAAAATTGGAACAACTACACGTTTCAACAAGGCACAATTGAAATAAGTACTGATACACTACGAGAAGGAGATACAATGAAGTTGGAAGAGTTTAAAAGGTAGGTTTTCGTTTAGTGACGAAGCAAATTCACCTATGTTTTAAATGCTACAGACTGTGAAAAATTCCTGAACTTTCCCACTTTAATTAGGAAGTCTTCATTTTTTGTTTATAAGATCCGCATAAAATGTAAATGTGAATTAAATATATCACTAGCTTGAAGACTTAGATCACTGCAAAGACTATGCAATGGTATGAACAATCTCAATATTCCATTATGCATCTACTAATCTCATGTTTTCATTGGTCACTACTGTATAGCTCATGGAAGTAAGTAGAATACTTTCCTGTGCTCAGTCAGTCAATGCAAAGATGAGAATTAACCATACGTCATAACGGTCCAGGTCCCCACACCTCTTATCAGCACATCAGGGAAGAAAGTATTAGGGTGAATAACAGATAAATGGAAAAATAAATGTAGCTGCAGGTCACAGAAACTAATAATAATCAAAGAATAAAAATAATATGGTGAACAATCAAACATGATATTGCAGTTTTAAGGGAGATAATATTTGGATGCATCTGTGCTATTCGAATCGATTCTCAGCCATACTGCCCAAAGTCATCAAACATCAATTTCGTATTTCGTGAGGACCCAAAACTGGAAGTTTACACTTCCTAAAACTGCTCAAATCAATATTCGGAGTTTGTGTGAACTGGTGCCACCTTTTATTTTGTCTACTCTTAAACTTTTAGTTTGTATCCAGTTCAGCTAACACTTCGTGACAAGGAAGACGGGGTAGCAACACATGTACTTACAGCTCCCATCCCCTTGAATCAATCAACATTTACATCCTGATCAAATAGCTAACCTCTTTTGTTTAAGATTCTACGTATAACCTTAACATGACTAACTTCACGCTTCCAAGATATATAAGTTTGTAAAGGTGAAGGAGGTTGAAATCCTGAAGCAGACTCATATTGCCTACCTTCACTGATCTTGTTACATTGGCGTATAAATGATGCACAGTGCTCATTAACCAAACCCTGCAGTTACATTAGTAAAGCTTTGGACACTCAGCAGGTGTCAGATATCACGCCCATGTCATGGATGGCATAAACTGGCAATCGAGATATCTTTACTCTGGGTGAAACTCCTTTCGGAATTTATTGTACCTGATAGACTTTGTGATATCTAGTTCCTACATTAAGTTTAAAAACTGTCAAAAGGAAACCAGGTGGGGAAGGAATTCAAAGCTACCTTCAGTGTTAGACTGTTTTCTGGCATAATCAAATGAAGCATACTTTTGTAGACCATAAGAGAACTCAGGATCCAAAATAAGTCGTAACAGCAAAGGGGAAGTTTAACATAGGTTATGAGTTTGTATATTATTTCTATATCGTATATTTCATCTAGGCTTTTTGTATGGTTGAGCAGTTTTTCAACTAAAAAGCTGTGATATGAATAAAGTTTGTCTTGGGAATCACTGAGCCAAGATAATATACTATTATCTCTGGAACCAATGTTTCACAGTTCAATTGATGGAGCACATTGAGCTGGTAGTTCGGGGACGAAAATCAAAGTATCTATTATGCCGGTGCTCATTTTTCGCCGAAAGTGTTTCAGATAGTTGAGTTTTCTGAATAAATCAGTGATTGCATAGCTTTTGTAACCACTAAAATCTGTCATCTTGTTTTCTGTCATTGTTTACTTGATGTTCATAAACATCATTAGTTCACTCACTATTTTATTAGTCTGTTTAGAAGCGGTTTAGATTTTATATTACTATGCAACAGTGATAATGGGATATGAGAAGAAACTTGTCTAATCACTCACAGAACAATATAAATATGTGTTGGTGTTATTTCGTCCAAGTTAATTATGTTAAAGGTTGTCTAACATATTGGGCAGTGCAAGTGGCTTAAATAGTCTGGAAAATACACCATACTACTTTTGCTACTGATCAAATATAAGTAGTCTAAAATTAATAAGCATTTTGATGCACTTAGTAGATCAACTTGACACGCATCTGTACAAAAACCTGTGTTTGTCAGATTAATTTATATTTGCCCCCAAAGGCCAATAACTGACACCTAATAGTTGAATAAAATAAAGTAGAAGACCTTATAGAGATGAGCACAGTGAAAGTGATAAGTCACATTCCCACTACGAATACTTGAGAACGTGGAATCAAGGTGTTTCTGTAGGAAGCAAGAAAACTGAGATGCAGGAAGGAATGCTTATTATTGACATCTTGTACAGTAGTCATCAAATATTATACACTTTCCACTAGGACAACCATTTGCACAACGCGATTCATTTCCTTCTCTGCATCTTTCGCAATTTGCTCTTAATATACCCACATTGTCTCTTGCGTTTCTCTGGCCAGAATCTTTACCCATTGCTAGTAATTCCCTACGATTTCAGCCACCCTCTAAACACATACTACTTATATCCATTCTGATCAGCAGCGTGCACTACATTTCTACCCCAATTGTCGGGCTGCATAGTAGTAGTAGTAGTAGTAGTAGTAGTAGTAGTAGTAGTAGTAGTAGTAGTAGTAGTAGTAGTAGTAGTATATATATGTTTCTTTGTATAGCTTCTCAAATAAAGTTATTTAAATTAATTTTCACTGTTTAAAAATCATTATTTCAGTCATTTTGAACCTGGAATTACAAGAAACTGGTCAAATAGTGTACAATTAAAACATTTTCGAAGAATGAGTGATCGATATCGATGTTGTAGTACGGGTTTAGATCAATCTTCTTTACTTGCAAATATACCACATTTTTCGTTGAAACTAACCGCGAACAGATTGAATCCACTTGAGAAAACCAGTGACAAACATATGAATTCAAATTATATTCTGTTAGCTGCAACTACTTTTTCCAAATTTTCACCTACATCTAACGATACAAATTCCATGGATGATTTATTGAGTGGAGGAATTAACAATACAACTCTGTCAGGTACAACAAGAAATCCCCTGTTATATCCTAGTGGATGTTTAATTCGTGAAGAAATTTCTCAAATATGTTATTGTTTTAGAACTTACTTTCAACTTGTTTTGTTTGTTAAGAAGTCAAGTTTAGCCATAATGTATTCAGAAAAATAAAAGTATGTAATAATGATTTGCAAGTATAAAAGAGGACGCCTTTGAAGTGAAGACAGGAAGGAGTAAGACAAGGTTGCCGCCTACTATCACCGATCATCTTCCTGATTGTGGTCGACTGGAGTGGATCATGCAGCAAACCGTAAGGAGCAAGAAGATTGGCAAACGCTGGACCGATGAAAAGAGCCTAGAAGATTCGGATTTCACTGATGATTTATGTTTAACGTCGCACAAACTTTAAGATCTACAAGCAAAAACTAACAAGTTGACAGAGGAGGCAGAGAAAAGCGGGACTTCAAGTGAATGTAGAGAAGATGGAGGTGATGAAGATACCCAACCAACAACAATATCGACAACAAGCGTCAGTCACCGTCAATGGGGAAGCTTAAAGGAAGTAGCCTCTTTCACTTACCCACCTACCTAAGCAGCATCGTTTCAACTACAGGCGACGGCACAGACGAGGATGTCAAAACGAGGATCGGAAAAGCAAAACAGGCTTTCATTAATTCGAAATCACTGCACTCAGCATGTGGAACAAAATCCAGAATCCCAACACCAATGTCAAGTCTGTGCTTCTATGTGATGGTTCAGAAACTTGGCGCGTCACGAAAAGCATTTCCAACAAACTATAGACATTCATCAACAGCTGCTGTCTACACTGGCTCGATACTGAAAATTAGATGACCGGAATAATAAGAATAAGCAACAAGGAACTCTGGCTGGCGAAAAACCAACCAAGAAGCTATCGCTCAACAGATATGCAGAAGGAAGTGGAGATGGATTGGACATACACTGAGAAGACCATTCATGGACATCACGCACCAGGCCAGGTACTCGAGTGGAACCCAGTTGGGAAATGACGAGGTGGGCGTCCGAGGTGAGGGTGATATGGAGGAAATTGTATGAGGAAGAAATGAAAGCTTCTAGGTAGTCGTGGCGACAGGTTGAAAAGACTACAGAGAAGAGAGTGCAATGCAGGCGTACTACTAAAGCTGTATGTTCCACTAGGAACCTAAGGGAAAAATAATAAGTATACAAGAGGCACTAGAAGTAATGAAATGATAATGAATTCAACAGTTCTAATAGAAATTCGAAAAGACTAACCTTTCAAATTATCGATAATTATGCTTAGCATCTCAAATTTACGGAAGTGATAATTCATTTTAGAGGAAAGCTTGAGTTACTGTAAGTTTTCAGCTAGCTGCTTCCTAGATACTGAAAAGTAGGTCAAAAAAATTCAGCTACAAACTAAGTAGCAATATCATTTAGATCATATAGTTTACACAATATTGACAAGTTTTTATAATAACTTAATATTTGTGATAGTAGTTACTGAAGTCTAACGAAACAGCTGTACAGTACCCGCAGGTTTTCAGTGATTTACCAGCTGATTTCAGCTCACAGTGGAAACAATCTTGAAATCAACTAACTCTACGAAAATCAATAATTCGAATCATTAATTGATAGGTTATTTGGTTAAATTGTTTCTTTAAATTCATGATACAGCGCCACTATCATATAATATCATTAGTGAGTATTCTTTCTCACACCCAACTTAGTTGACTCCACAGGTGAAGACTTCTCACTAAAACGTCAGGTAATTCATTCGGGAGTCAATCTTCAGTTCAATTCACCTATTTTTCAGTCATTTTCCAAAGATGTAAACTTGTATAGATTAGTTTACTTCATACTTCAAGCAACCTGTTTGTCTGAAAATGATTTTCACTACAGGTCAGTAGAAATTCAACAAAAGAGCAAAAGCATTTCCAGTTCTCTGTGTTCTGAAATCTGGGTGATGGACGAAATAAAGAGGATATCAGACTCTGTTAATAATATCTTCTTTGCATTATTGATTTTCTGTAAAATCACTAAAGAAGCACTTTTGACGCTAAGCATGGATTCTTAAACAAGAAAGTTTAGTCATTCGATAAAGTTGTCAACGTGTAACACCCTGTATGGTTGGAGTATTTGTTATGTGTTCAAAACTAATATCCTTCCTTCAGACATAATAGATGCTAACTGGAGCATACTTACGCCAAAAGTTAGTTGATGGTGGCCTAAACAAAACAATAAACCTTTTACTTCAGCCACTGACTACTGATCTACGTAAATCAGGTGAATATCTGCAACCTGTTAGTGATTTTCAAAACATCAGTATTCTGTAGTCTTAGAATCATTCTGAAATGATCCATAAAAAATTTCACCGGTAGAAATATGTTAAACAATATGTACTTCCTTAGGTTTTTTCTTTCATGCAACAAATAGTAAATTTGATGTTACCGTATCTTATTTTCGATTACGCGTTATTATTACTTACATTACCATTACTATTACTTGTTGATACCTACAATTTATCGTTGTTATACTGGACAAAAGTGATTGACCTCTGTTGGCATAAAGGCTTTTTTGCGCATGCTTAGGTATTACCTGACTATTCGTTATCATAACTTGTTTGGTAGTGGCTGACGGTGGAATCCATGGCATACATTACATCCTATTTAACACCTATCAGTTGAATATACAAGCACCTCGAGGAGTGATGATGTTCTCAGCGAGATTCGAACTCCTTATCCATATCTTGAACGCAAAAGCGTTTTGCACTTGTGTCTAGTGGTCACCAAGTAAATCATGGCACTATTATTATTATTTGTCTCATCTTTCTCTAAGGCAAGAAATAATGGAAATTTACTCGTATTAGTTCATGATAAATAATATGCATATGCATCCGATATTTCTAACTACTCATACGCATACGATTATGTGGTGATTATCAATGACAGTTCACATGCACCACATGATACAATAGAAGCAATTTCAGACTGACTGACCACTAATCACATTTTAAAACAATGGTTACCCGAAAGAGATTGGAAAAGAATAGTGAGTACACCTTTGTGACTTCATTTATGCATCTCTGACATTTTATATTGATTATTTCCCAGAAGAAGCTAAGATTAAACTTCCATGCAAAACGTTGGAACTATTTCCTTTCAGGTTGGTATTCAGTATGGACTGACATCAGTTAGAGGGACATTGGGAACCTGGAAGGATTGGACAGCTACCTCGTCCTAGTAAGGGACTCCTCAGCAGTGTGAACCCGTGACCCCACCTCGCCAGGGACCGAACCCAGGACCTTCAGGCTGCTTTCAAATGTGATGGAATTGATACATATATAGCCTAGATCTACCTAAAGTTATTATTTTAAGCTAACTAGCGTCCTTCATTAGTATTCAGTCGTCAGTCGCCATCCAGTATAGATGCACATGTGATAAACCATTGTTATCTCACGTAGTCTTAATGCTAATCAATTTCACACTGCTCTTCTCTAATTCAAGTAGATTTGTGATGGGATGAGAAGTCCTGATTGGGCAGCCAGTGTGAGTAAGACCAAGCGATAGTAACACGTCATGAATTCACATGGTAGTCGGGAAAAACCCTTGATGATTGAAGTGAAATAAAAATCTGGTCAGAAGTCAGATCTCGTAGCTCAGTTGGTAGAGCACCGGGAAGGAAAACCCGGTGGTCTCTGGTTTGATTACTTTAGTGGGCCAAGTTTTTTATTTGCCAGTGCTATTCTAAACATCAGCCCGTGAATTGCTTGAGTATTAGTCTGAGCTGTGTAGGGAAATGCAGACTTCCCAGTTAGGGTTGGTTGAAGACTGCCTGCGATACGGCTCGGAATCGGCCGAAATGGCGTAGAAGTATTCACACATTGCCTTCATTTGAATTGTCATACAGGATTTTACTGTTCTCACATCTTTTTACTCCTTCTTTATGACTTTCCACTACTATTTCCTTTCTTGTTTCTTCATCTTTCGTGATGGTGTATTTCCGCTTAATGTGCTGATATCAGACATGACAGCTTGAACCACAACGAAGTAATGTCAGGTTCCATGTTTACATTATCTATTGATTTCTCTTAGACAATTCAGGATGGTAATTGTTATCCGAAAGAATAATAACTGCTATCTCGATTACTAATACTCTAGTTACAATAGACTATAAAAATCAATACTACGCAAGCAATGAATAAAACTCATGCATCTCTGTGACGGGGTAAGTGTAACTGTAACAAACAGTACGTAACAGCTCCGGTAAGTTCCTTTCTAGCAATTAGTTCAGTGTTTTAATGTACAATGTAAGATCGGTTTCCGTGAATGGTATCTATCATTTGTCAGCTAATACATACACTTACATATGTTAAATAATTTCTTTTGATAAAAATATAAGACTTATTCACCTTAGTTACAGAAATTCCTTTGTGTATAATATTCACATAGTTTCTATTTAATGCATTTCCTTTACTCTATAATCACTAGGATAACTGAAATGACATCTTCTTCCCACTGTTAATAAAACAATATTTCACTGTCTAAAATCGGGATAATATTCACTGACAAACACGCATTTTTTTTTCTTGTTTCAAACACTCCGTGTTCCTAAGTGTATACACACAGCTTGTTATCTCATCACTGTGTAATTATTGTTAAACAAGATAATTAGACAAGACTAAGTAGATAAATAAAATGGGTAGCTTTATGTCAGGTCAATATAAATACAATAGGTAAATGTAAATTTGTAATGTAACTCTATTTTATTTATTCAACAATCAACTAAACAACTGACTTGTGTCAAAATAACATTATCTATACTCTTTACATTCATTAAAATATCTAATGATTAAAACATTAGAACAAGAGTTGAAGAAGAGTCAAGGTCATTGGATATTTAACAGGAACATTATAGAAACAGAAATAGATCGAATGAAATAGTAACAGTTGTTTAAATTCTTCTCAAATAAAATACTTTTTTTTAAAAAAAATTCGGTCAAATGATAATTATGTAGTTAATTCAATTAGTTAATTATTTAATTCACTAGTGAAATAAACTAAAGTATTTAAATTTGTACCTAAAACAAAATTCAAAACAGATATTATCATTTTTAAAAGGTTTTATTATCATATATGATAGTCATAATAAACATATTTGTTGTCACAATAACA